AGCCCGCAGCGTTGCTCCGTCGGGCAAGCCTCCGGAGACGCCATACTCTGGCCGTCGCTGTAGCAGCCTCTAGTCAGCGGCGGTGGCGGGGCAAAAAAAATCCCAGGGAAGGAGTGGGGAAGAAGCGCAGCCGTGAGAGAAGTTCTGTCTGCGGGCCGAGGCTGCGGCCTCCTTCAGAAGGACCCATCAGCGGCCCTTCTCCGCCCGGATTCCTCTCCCTGGGCGGGGCTAAAGCGCAGGCATCCCAATGCTTTTTCCCCAACGGAGCGAGCCGGTCAGTTTGAGCGGCTAACTCGAGGTTTCCTTTTGAGTCTCGGGTGTAGTAGAAGCCTTTACGCGGAGAGAATGCGTGTTCTTGTGCCCGGGACGTTTGAGTAAGTAAAACTGAAGTCAGCCACCAGTGTTGAAGGTGCCATTTGGACTTGAACTGCTAAGCCAAGGGCTGGCAGGGCTCAGTCCCGTAAAGAACGCATCAGTTGTATCCGGAGGAGGCGCTGACTTGGGCTTAATTTAGCATTTAGTTAGGTTTATCTTGGATTGAAATGGGGATGCGAGTCAGTTTGGAGTAGTGGTCACAACCCTAGCCCAGAAACCAGGAGACTGGGAGTTCTAGTCCCACCTTGGGTACAAAGCTAGTTTGGTACCCTTAGACCAGCCAATAACAACAATAACAATAATAGAGGTGGAAGGGATCTTTGAGGTCTTCTAGTCCAACCCCCTGCTCAGGCAGGAAACCCTATGCCATTTCAGACACACACACTCAGCCCTGGGAAGAAGCAATGGCAAGCCACTTTTGAAAATCATGCTAAGAAAACTGCAGGAGTTAATACTGCCTCAAAGATGCACCGCCTGTACACACATGGAGAGATTAGTTTTGTGTTAACACAGCCTTAAGCTAGTGAGCAGAGAGCATGTCTGATTGCAAAAATCTAGTCAACACTAAGTGAAACCAAATGTACCATTGTATATCTCTTCTAAAAGTTATTCAGATTCTTGCAGCTTAGAGGACTCTGAAAAGTTTGCAGATGAATTTGTGTACTAATTACCACTGATATCTGAGCTTTTATAACATTCTAGGCTAAAAGACATATAGGTTTGTGGTTGAATAGATTATGCAGATTCAACCAAAATGGTTTGTTTAGAGCAGGCATGTTCAACTTGTGGCCAATGGGCACATGCAGCTCTGGACTGCTAATTAGCTTCACAAGATATATCTATCTTGTATATATTACAAAGTGGACTTGTGTAATGCTGGTTTTAGTCATACATTTTGCTAAGCCCAAGTTTGTTTAAAAAAAATCATATTTGAGGAAACTATTGTGACATGGGTCATATGTTACATTAAGCTATAATTAGTACTTCATAGATAGCACTAAATTTAAAGCAAATTGGCAGGATGTGTAAACCAGACATTTGCCCTGAGCTTTCCATGAAGACTGCTATATGGCAGGGGTATCAAACTGCCGGCCCATGGGCCAGATGCATCATTGCGAAACCGCACCCACCCCATTGCTGGCAATGGGAAAAAAGTGATGATACGTTGCAATACGTCATGTGATGTTGCAAGTTTGACATCCCTGCTATATGGGATCTTCACAGTTTATAGGATATTAACATAGAAACTCCATCCCCTTTTACCGATATTAGCTAGTATTCAAAGAAGTAATGGCAAATATTAAATTCCAGCAATTACACTATTATGAACTATTGCAGAATTAGTTACATAGCTCTCCAGTCTCGAAGTATAGATCACAACCTACTGCTTGATAAGATAGAAAAATGCGGGTTAGACAGCATCACCACCAGATGGATCTGTAGCTGGCTGATCGGCCGTACTCAGCATGTGGTCCTCAATGGAACCACATCTGTTCTGGGCCCAGTGCTCTTTAACGTCTTCATCAACGATTTGGACGAGGGGATAGATGGGGAACTCATCAAATCTGCAGACAACACCAAGCTGGCAGGAATAGCCAACACTCCAGAAGACAGGCTCAGGATACAGGAGGATCTGGACAGACTTGAAAACTGGGTGCTATCTAACAAAATGAAATTCAGTGGTGAAAAAAGTAAGGTGCTACATTTAGGCAAGAAAAACCAAATGTACAGGTATAGTATAGGGGGTACCTTGCTCAATAGTAGTAACTGTGAGAGGGATCTTGGAGTCCTAGTGGACAATCATTTAAATATGAGCCTGCAGTATGGTGCAGCTGCCAAAAAAGCCAACACAGTGCTAGGCTGCATTAATTGAGGGATAGAATCAAGATCACATGAAGTATTAATACTACTCTACAATGCCTTGGTAAGGCCACACTTGGAGAATGCATCCAGTTTGGGTCACCACGATGTAAAAAAGATGTTGAGTTTCTAGAAAGAGTACAGAGAAGAGCAACAAAGATGATTAGGAGACGGGAGGCTAAAACATATAAGGAACGGTTGCTGGAATTGGGTATGTCTAGTTTAATGAAGAGAAGGACGAGGGGGAACATGACAGCAGTGTTCCAATATCTCAGGGGCTGCCACAAAGAAGAGGGAGTCAAGCTATTTTCCAAAGCACTCTGAAGGCAGGACAAGAAGCAATGGATGGAAACTAATCAAGGAGAGAAGCAACCTAGAACTAAGGAGAAACTTCCTGACAGTTAGAACAATTAAACAGTGGAACAAGCTGCCTCCAGAAGCGGTGAATGCTCCAATACTGGAAGTTTTTAAGAAGAAACTGGACAGCCATTTGTCCGAAATGGTATAGGGTTACCTGCCTGACCAGGGGGTTGGATGATGATCTCCAAGATCCTTTTTAACATTATAATTATTGTTGTTGTTGTTATTATTGTTATTGTTATTATTGTTGTTGTTATTGTTATTAAATTGCATAAAGTCGGTTTTGTTGTTTATACTGCAAAAGAAGATAAGTAAAATAGAATGAGTTCGGGGTAATTGGTTTTCCACATACTTTGTTAAGCAGCCCTGATGACAATATTCAAAGTAGAGATTTCACAAAAGAAGGATCAACAAGATTGTTACCATATATGTAATATGTAATAGTAGTAAAGTTGGAAGTAGTAAAGTTGGATATGACATCCAGTTGATTTACATAGCTAAGAGAAAAACTCAGTGAGTTCAAAGTTTGTGGTAAGCTATCTTAAAGATAAGGAATATATCTTTTAAAGAAGACATTATTCCTCTATATACCAATAATACATATTTTGAGAAGAATATCCCATGTGGTGTTAGACCATGTATAATATTCAGCAACTCTAAAATATCATAGTCTAGCTGAATGAAAATGTATTGATGGTTTCTACAGTTGGTGAAAGGCAATGACTATTTCAATGGCTTCTGATCTTGTGTTGTGTATTATCTCCTGTATCAAAATATCTTAATATGTGATTGAGCATATTGATATTATACCAGTTTCTAGGGAGAGGCAGCCAAAGGGGGTTCTACCCTCTCCCATTCAGAATATACCTGGTTAGCCAAAATGTGACAAAGAAACCTGGATCCAATTAGCTATTGGTTGGCAAAGCATTTCTTATATTCTTAAAGGAATCTGGTATATAAAATGACTGATGACAAGCCATAAAATGTTGAATCAAAAATAGACCAGATGCAGTAACACAACTTCACATTGAACCCAAAAGTACCTTCTTATAGAAATAACATCCACAAATTAATGAACTTCATAATGTTTTAAAGGAGAAGTACAGGTTTTTTTTCAGGCTAAGGGCTGCTGTAGTTTGAAAAATATGCTGTGGACTACATTCTCTCCCCCCTACATACACAATAAATAAATAAATACAATTTATATTTACATTTAATTAAGGTTATAGTAAATCAGAAGAGAGAAAACCCCAATAACCTACGGACAAATCTCAGCCCCCCCCCCCCAAAATTGTGAACCAAGTCCCACCAAGCAAAGCACAAAATCAAGTGCACTCTCCAGGCATTTAATATATACTAAATAATTTTCCCTTCTACCATGTAAAAAATTACATTTTGTGCATAGTTTTCAGCACCACATACATGCATGACCATGTTAAAACTTTGTAACACCCCTTAAGCATCTTGGACAATGTATCTTTAAACTATAGGCCCAACATTTCTTGTGATGATCAGTGTGTATGATTATTATTGAAGTGGTCATCTGAACCTCATGGGAACTCCTTTCTGTTTAATCTGAATTAGATATTTAGATCAGAAGATAAAGGTTGTAAAGCCCAGATATTGCTCCAACTTGCTAATTTTGAAATACAGTTAGAACAAGCATTATTAAAACACTGTTGTCTGTAGATCAGCTGAAATGTCACAGGTTGACTGTGGCTTAGCTAAAGCTCCAGAAGTTCAGCATTGTCCTTTTAATAGGCAAAATTGACAGCTATTACTTTTAAGGAAGAGCCAATTTGGTGCAGTGGTTAAGGCATCAGGCTAGAAATCAAGAAACCATGATTTCTATTCCCGCCTTAGGCACAAAGCCAACTGGTACCTTTCTAGGCTTTCTCTTTTTATTTTCTTTCTAACTTTCTCTCAGCCTAGGAAAGAGGCAACAGCAAATCACTTTTGAAAAAAGCCTTGCCACAAAATTGCAGGGACGTGCCTGGGCAGTCTCCAAGAATCAGACATGATTTTTTAAAACAAAGTTTTAAGGAAAGATCCTTTGAAAAGTGAGTTACAACTTTAATCTCTCCTTTTGTGACTATTTTTGTTGTGACTTTTAAGGAAAGTTCTGTAAACCGAATAATTGCCATGCTGACCTTACTTAAAAGATGTTAAGTTGCTGCTCTTTGTATTGATTAAGTATCCAAGAATTGAGCTTAATACTTGGTCATCGCAGAGACTAGGGGTCTTCAAACTTGGCCCTTTTATGACTTGTGGACTTCAACTCCCAGAATTCCTCAGCCATGCACGCTGGCTGAGGAATTCTGGGTGCTGAAGTCAACAAGTCATAAAAGGGCCAAGTTTGAAGACCCCTGGCATAGACAAATGCCTCAACCTGCCTAGTAATAATTAGTAGGTCTTCCAAGGAGTATTCTGTAATTTCTTGGATCCTGCTTGTCAGCACTTGTTGAAGCTCCTTGCTTGGAAAGAGATGAAAAAAAGTTCTACCTTACCATATCTCTCTCCCATATTTCTTGGCATATTTGTTTTTGTTCTTCATGAAAGACTCAGTGGATTGTACTTGCAGAAATTCTGTCAATTTGACTCAATCCATCTAGGAAATCTATCAAGGCGGTCTCATTCTTCAGGCTTTTTTCTTTCTTTCCTACTCAGCAATGTACACTTGCAGCCATGGCATCATCCTATGAAGCTTAATGATGCAGTTCAAAAATGCAAGTACTACTTTGCAAAGTATCAGGATGGTTCTTCTCTCTTTTTACATGAGAGGGAACTCTACTATTAATCTCTGTTTCTGGTCGGTGATACTGGATGGAGCGCTGTCACACAACCTGTTCTGGACTGCCTAAACTAGAAAGTTCCTTTTGATATGGTAGAGAATATTTTTCTACCTTCAGTTGCTAGTACAGATAGCATCAGTACATGGAACAGAGAGGGGCACCTACTTGTTTTAAGCAGCAAAATGCCTGGGCCCCAGACCTGGATGAAGTATAAATAGTAGTTCTAGTTTTCCTCCAATTATTTCAGGTACTAGTATAACAATTTGAACATTTAAATTGAAAATTTCCAGTTATATGCATTCCCTCTTCTCCAGAATAAGCACCAATTCTTTTTTGAAATTGGTATTCTGAACTTTGAGAATTTTAATATCTGCCTTGGGACATCTTCAAGGAGAAAATACTGAGAATATTCAAAGTTCCTTGGAAAAAGGACTAACCAGAGTCTGCTAACTGTAGAGCCAAGGTACTGAGGAAAATAAGTTCAGGGTTTGTTTTTCCTTTGGCTTTTTATGGTCTAATAATAGAAGAAGGACAGGAGAAGAAAAGCTCCTGTCACTGAGATCCATTAGTTTGCAACTATGCCTTGTTTGAAATTTCCTTCACAGATGCAACTAGTAAAATATGTGCATTTTTTCTGTTTAACAGATTTCACTACTTGCTTAAGGGAAATCAGGAAGTGGAGATAAATGACGGGGTTCTCTTGGAAGAAAAAAACCCTTGACCACTTCCAGTAAAATTTTAAAAAGTTATTTTGGAACCCAGTGCCCACAAGCCATTTGATAGGCCTGTTCTAATAATTAGTTCAATGGGAGATAATTGGCTGAATGGAAAGTGTAGTAATTATAATCTCAGTGAATTTTCCCTTCCTTTTCATTCAACTGCTTTTTGCACACAAAGTTTTTACTACTGCTTGGGAAAAAAATCCCTCTGTCTTTTATGAAATTGGTCAGTCACATTATGGGTGGAAAGCAGTATATCATATCCACAGGCTTTGAATGCACATATAAGTTCTTCTAAGCTGCCTATCCATGAGAGACCCTCAGCTGGGAATATGGATCCTGGGTGGATCAGGATTATCTTCTCTTTTGGAAACAGTCACTTCTGTTGTCCCTGGATCTGGCTTTTGTTTATTAAATTGTAGGAATTTCTCCATTACATCTGCTCCCAAATTGAATATCAGAGCAAGCCAGACTAAACCAAAGACAATCCAAATTGCTGCCAAGCTTCGGTACACTGAAATATAGTGCTTGCTAGGATCAGTGCCTATGAAAACAAAAAGGAGAGGGAAACTTAGTTTATCCTAGCTGAATACCTGAAAAGAATTCAAATAAGCTGAATACAGTGCATACATATACAAGTATATTTCAGAAATGGAATTACTTTAGAACATACAGGGAAGTGTATGTAGCTCTTCTCCAGAGCAGTACCATATTTTTCCAGACTTCTGCATGAACCTCCAAAAAGGGCAGTTCCTTAAATGATTCATATCAAAGAGTGCTGTTTTAATAAGTCATTGCATTAAAGCAGCTGAGTCTTACTTCATCTTTGCATGGAAGCCTGAAAAATACATTGCTGCTTTAAAGAAGTATAGGTTCCAGTTATTCAAAATTCCTCTTACCACTATTTTATTTTTGCACATATAGACAGAACAAATTTAGTGGATTGCCTGTATAGTTCCCTTCCTTGTTTTAAGGGAGCTGGGTTTTTTTTAAAAAAAGATGCAAGATGCTTCCTATGTACATCTTGATTTGCAACCTCTATCAATTTTATCAGGCTATCACATAACCTCTTAAATATTGCAATTGGCCACATGCTTCAATCCACGTGGGACTTTCCTTCTACATAGCACTTTATTGTCCTAGGACCTTCTTATTTTAATTACCAAATGCATCAGCAGCTGCCTCCCTTCAGTCCACTCCATCCAGCCTAACACTGCCTCATTCGACTGGCAGAAATGTTTCAATATCTTGGGCAGAAATAAAATGTATTTGGTGCATTTGCTTCCAACCTTTTTTCTGAGATAAAAGTAGTGTACATGAGGATTTCCCTGGATTTCATTCTTTTAACAACCTTGCGAGATTAGTTGGAGTGACCTGGTGAGCTGCAAATTTTTAGCAAGAATCTGGAGTTCTCCAGTCCAAAACTATAGCATACTACTCTGCACTCCCCTGCCCTCTGCTTCTGTCAATGGAAGGTCATAAAATGTCATCTGCACAAGTGCTGCCGTTGAATTAGCTCTCTCCCACAAGAGCCAAAGGAAGGAGAGACTAGTATGGGGTTGCGTAGCATCTCAGTCTCATCCTTGAAATGATTGCTGGAGAGGAACATTTATCTATAGTTTCACATCATGTAAACCAGAAATGCAGGAAGTATGACTCGGGGAAAAGAGGAAATGCACAATATATTTATAAAAAAACCCTTATTTGTGTCTATAACATGTAATTTGTGACTGGTTGTTTTTACGTCAGTGAGAATTGCAGTGTCAAATTTCAGGTAAAAATGAATGTAAAATTGATGCTGCCCAATGAGTTGCAGCTTGATTTACTCTGCAGGAAATCCATCTGGCATAGAAAACAGATTCCTTTTCCTCCAAAATAAATATAATTCTGAAAGTTTTGTCTGCATTTATAGAGAGGAAGCAAAGAAACCACAAATGTCTGTCAGTAGCATTTTCATTTCTTATTCAGCTGCAGTCAGTAACTGAGTCTGGTCCTTTTAAAAACACTTTGTCCACATTAAAGCACTTTTGTTTATGTGACATGTTTGGAGCACTGTGTATAGCACAACTCTCTCACTATCTAAATTAATATAACCTATTAATAATAAAAAAATATTTTCAATTCTAGCTTGTCAGTGAAGTATTTGTAGAAAATATGGTAGCCACTATGGGGAACTTCCCATTTAAAGAAAAGTAAGTTTTATAAAAGCTAAAATCTCATGAGAACTTAGTTTCCTTGTATGAGAACTCACAAGATATCAGAGTTACGTTTGCCAAAATAAAGTGTGTTACTTCTGAATTTTGGGCAATTTTAAAATGTGTTTGAATGTTTTTTACATGCAGAGATATGTGCCATGTGCACCTGAGTTTGCTGATTTCTCTTTTAATCTGTCTCTCTTAAAAAAGTAAGAACCTGTATTCTTGACTCCTAATGGAGCGATTGAATGAGTGAACAAAAAAGTACATGGTAAATATAATTTATATCTCATGGCCATGTTGTTATAAGTGTCACAGGTTTCTCTGGAATTCTTTCTAATCAGTGCTGATGTGATGGCCTGGGGGATGCTCTCTTACTTATAGCACTTAACAATTTATTAACTATTATTATTATTACCTACTACATAATCTCCAAATCCAATGGTGCTGAGGGTGATAAAGGTGAAGTAGAAGCCTTCTCCGTAACTCCAGCCTTCAACATAACTGAAGATCATTGGTGGAAAAACCAGGAAGAGTAAAGTCCCAGCCATCAGAAATAATACCATGGTTAATGTCTGCACCACCTGAGAAATATAAGGATGAAATGGTTGTTCAGTAGTCCTATACTTCCATCTAAAGTATAGTTGCAAATGTGAAGGCTATTTTCAATAGTCCCCAAATGGTGGGTAGCTGAGTTCCAGGAGTGAAATTCATTGAGATATGCTCACACCTGGCCTGTATAGTTATTTTAAAATATTGGCATGCCTATTATCACTTCAGAATGCAGTACTTTTTCTATTTGGTTATCAAAGAATAGAAATAAGTGTAACAGAATATTACATTCATCTACATGAAAGCCCCGAATCACAATGGAGATTTGCTTGGCTATCTTTGACATGATGCTTAGTCATGTCAAAGAGAAGCCACAATTGGATATATTCAGTTACATTTTTGACATTGGTAATATATTTGTTTGAGGAAGAGTATACTTAGAAATATTTTAAAGGTGTGGGAGCCAACCTTATTGAATTAAAAAGCCACCTCTAAAGGATTCTATATAAATTAGTGGAATTTGCAAACCTTTAAATTTACAGAGCAAAAGTGAGGGAAAATAGTGTTCAAGGAGGGAATCAATAGATGCAACTCTCTTTTCATACTGTAAATGATAGAGATTTCTCTATGTATTGAAGAGCTACAAGGACATTTGGTATAGAAAAGTTAACCCAAACCTTAACATGTATGAGTTCATGGTCCCATTTCTGTTCATTTCTTTTCTACAGAAGGTGGAGGCCCCACATCTCTGTCCACATGATGATAGCTATTTTCTACATAGATTCCTAATGCAGTAGCTGTATAGGCAGCCCAAGTCATAGCCTCTTTGCATCACACAGTAAAACAAATGAGATAATTTTAAAGTCAAAACATGAAATTGATACCAACATGTACTATCTCTGGTTCAAAGATGCAGGATTGAAGAAATATGTCCGTAAGATATTAAAGTTAAAGCAAAGATTAGGAATCAAGGGAAACAGTGGAACAGCTTGGAAAGATTCTTGACAGTAGAGAAGGTTAAGTGATTAGTAGGCAGCCTCTCATCAGAAAGCATTGAATGGCTAGAAGAATACCAAGAATATCATACCAGTCCAATACCACTCATTCTGAATGGTGTTTTTCATGACAATGTGGATGAAATTTCTGATTTGTATGTTGTTTAACTATGTGACTCGAAACAAAACTGAACTTCTTGAATAGGCTTCTTTTCATATATTTCCATAAAAGAGGAAAATAATTCTCAATCCCACTCTCCCAAAAAGATACAGTAACTGAAAACTATTCTTCAGTACAAATGCTAAATATGCAGGAACCCTGCCTGCTTTTCCCTCTGAACTCACTTTCTGAAAGGTAACAACATGCAGGATTTCTACCTACCAAGATTGTGGATGGCTAGGGATTTTGTTCTCCTAAATCAAAATAGAAGAAAATCCAGTTTTTAGGAAATACGGGAAACTGCCCTTCCCTCTAAATTATGTCCTTAAATCTAAAAAGCATTTTATAGAAGCAAATATCATGAATCATCTACATTTTAAAAATGAGGTAATATGAAATTTTGTCTTGCTGAAATATACAGAAAGCATAATAGACATTGTTATATATGACTATTCTCCCAGGCAAGTACATCCCTAAGTCAAAGGCAGAGAGCCAAAGAGTTGTGTAACAATTTTGTCTTCATCATTAGCAGGATATTCATTATGCCTCTCCCATGTTCCCTGATTTCTAGTGCAAAGATGTATAACTTATGAAAAACCCTATCTGGGTTAGGTTACTTTTCTGATCTGGCATTTCTTTCTCTAAGTATTAAAAAAAATCATAATCTTGTAATGTTTACATCTTGCAACATAAGGAATTTTGGTATGCATCTTGCCCCAATTCATGTACTATAACTCATCATGTAAATTTCCTGGCAAGCCCTTTTAAAACACGTGAAATCATCCTCTTATTCATATAAAAGTAATTATTAATATTTAGAAACAATTTTCAACAGAGGACCATTTTTCAAAGGCTGCCTGAGGGAGATACGGGTGTGTGTTCCTTTCTTGATGGGAGTGGAATGTCCAGGTTTGCTGCTGATAAATTCATGGTGGGATTCTTTCACAGCTTTATATGTGAGGGGAGAAATACAAAGGTTACCCTCAAGCTTATAGGCTCCCTTGTCACATTTTATTTTGTTGCTATGAAACAGAAATTGTTTGCTTATCTGGGCCCATTTATTATAGATAGTCCTCAGCTTACAATCACAGTTGGGACTGAAACGTCCATTGCTAAGCAATGCAGTCATTAAGTGAATTGTACCTGATTTTACAACCTTTTTCACCATGGTCAATAAGTGAATCACATGGTTGTTAAGTGAATCTGGCTTTCTCATGGAGTTTGCTTGTGGCAAGCCCCCTGGGAAGATTGCACATGGCGATCACAGGACCACAGGACTCTGCAGCTATCATGAATACATGTTGTTTGCCAAGTTTTGATTTTTTGATCATGTGACTGCAAGGACATTGCAACAGTTGTATGTGTGAGGATTGATGATAAGTGACTTTTCAGCACTCTCATAACTTTGAATGGTTGTTAAACAAATGGTTGTAAGTCAAAGACTACCAGTACTCTATTGCAATCGTTTTGTCACAAAAACAAGAATTCAGAGGCATATTACATACTCGGAACATGAAATGACATGGAAATGAGTATCAAGGCTAAAGAAGGACAGAATGAGTGGCCCTCAGTATTCTTGGCCATGTGCTTGTCAGCTGCTTGCTTCATTTTCCTATTTGCAAATGGCCTCCAGCAGATTACGCCAAGGCACTGGATTGATTAAAGCTATTTATCCTCCTCCATAGTCCACTAACTTAAAAAATATAATGCTGCTTTTCCATATTTGTAACTATATGGCTTTAGTCAGTTAAAACTTATGGAAATATCCATGTATTTAACTAACCAAATTGCCATGGTCTCTTATCCAGGCTGCTAGTTTAAGAGGTAGGATAACCAGATTATCTCAGAGACCCCATTGAGATTGGAAAGTATTAGGAAGTAGCACAGAGTTTTCCAACCTGGAGTCCTCCAACGTTTAAGATATGGCAGTTGTTGTGCAATTTATGAGAAGTTGGACAACTGAAGTAATGAAAAATTTGGCTGCTTCTAAGAACCTGAAAACCCACAAATAAAGTTCTATGCAAATCTTGTTTTTAAATCTACTCTTGGGCTTCAGAGAACTATAAAGTCATATCCATGTCAGTCAAAAGAAGTAAGATGTCTGTTGATCTCCAGAGTCATAGATAAGGTGATAGATGAGTCAATGCACAGTTCTTTCTTAATATCATGGCTGACGAGAGTATTGAAACACATTGTTACCATATTTTTGAACTACTATCTTCAAATGCCGCCTGCTAATTTTTTTGTGTTCCAATTACTTCAGTTATGTGGAAATGATCCTCTGTTCATTTCACATATATAATAACTGAAAATCATTATATTAGACACCTTCAAAATTATACATATAAACATCTATCAGGTACTCCGGACTAAGTATTATGCACCACTGCAGAGCAAAGTATAGGGAAAACCGGAATGAAGATGTTCAAAATAATTTGAGATAATGATATTCTTCTTTGTATTAAACTCTAACCTTCTGGCCATCTAGGTTTTCTGTTACTTTTCTGATCTTACTTGTATCCTCAGTTGCTGCAACTTAGCCCTTTGTAATGGCTCCACTTCTACAATTGATACAGATAATCCTCAACTTAAGATCATACTGGAGCCCAGAATTTATGTTATAAGTCATGATGGCTATAAGTTGAGACACCCCCATGACTGGACCCAATTTTATGCCTTTTTTTTGTGGCAGTCCTTAAGAGAGCACCACCATTGTTAAGTGAATACAGGGCTGTTAAGTGCATGCGGCAGTTGTTAACTGAATCCATGTATTCCTATGGACATTTTTTTTGCTGGAAATTGGCTTTAAAGGTCTGGAAACTGGCAAAAAATATCAATTATGGCCACATGACTGTGGAATACTGCAGTTGGCCATATTGGTGAGCAAGTTGCCAAGCTCCTGAAATACGGTCATGTGACTATATATGTGTGCTCAGATGTTGGAACTCTAGAATTGGATTGTAAGTATCTCTTGGGGGCTCCTTCGTAACTTTGAACATTGCTAAGCAACCGGTTATTAAGTGAGGACTACGTGTACTTTTCTTAGTTTTAGTTTATATCTATTTAGATTGTATCTTCTGGAGCTTTTATCAAGAGTGTATAGCTTGATATAACCTGTCACTCTTCAGAAGTTCAAATCGACAAAAGTTTTTTGATGTCCTGGATTGGCATGTGTCCAAGATATTCCCATGTGTCCTATGAATACATGAAAATCATCTTTGTAATGTGTTATGGTAATAAATGAGCAATTGTACCTGAGCTCGCCCTGACTTGTGGACCCATCTGTCCAGGTCAATCAGGTATGTGCTGAGTCCTTTTCCCAACCGATTGAGAAATGCCAAATTAAGAGGGACCCCAAACAAAGCATAAAATACACAGAAGACCTGTCCAGCTACTGTACTGGGGGCCAAGTTCCCATAACCTATAGAAAGAAAAAAAATCTCTTAACGAGGCTCAATTTATATGAAAAAATAATATTTTATTAAGAGAATTCTGCTTATTCTTCTTTCATATCTCATCCTAAATTAAAATTAAAAACTTGCAGTCTTTATTGCTTTTATGATTGAAATTACAGGGATTTTAAAACCGAATTTTGGCTGGTTCATGCACTTTCTGGTGTCCTGAGTGCCCCCTAAAGCAGATTTTACAAATACACAATTGATACTGTATATTCTGTAGACAAGACAATCATAGAAAAAAAAATCACATAAAATGAATGTAGTTGAATATAATGGCTTTTAAAATATACATCTCAAAGTCTGAAACTTCTATGATGCAGATTTGCAAACTGCTTTGTATCATCAGTCACACAAGATTCAACTTTTACCTAAAGCAGGGGTAGGCAACCCAAAACACTCAAAGAGCCACTTGAACCCGTTTCCCACTGAAAACAAAACACTGGGAGCCGCAAAACCCTTTTGATATCTAAAATGAAGCTAACACTGCATATATTCTTTTTTACCTTTATTATAGGTGTGTGTGTGTGTGTGTGTGTGTGTGTGTGTGTGTGTGTGTGTATCTCATAAAGGTAAAAAAGGATAGATCCAGTGTTATCTTCGTTTTAGATGTCAAAAGGGTCTCTCTGTCTCTCTCTCCTCTCCCTCTCTCTGATCTTCTGCTCACCTGGCAAGCTGGCTTCAAGCTGTTCTCCAACACTCAGGAGTAGGCAACCTCGGCTCTTTTATGACTCATGGACTTCAACTCCCAGAATTCCTGAGTCAGCATAACTGGGTTAGCTAGCTCTCTCCTGTCCTTCCTGCTTCCTGTTTCCTGCTTCCTGCAGAGATGCAGCAAAGGGAGGAGCTCCGCCCAATAAGCTTTTCAGCTCCTCAGAGAACACCGTGAGTCCACTCTCTTTTTTATACACAAACGTAAACACACACACACACACACACAGAGAGGGGGGGAGGAAGCACAAGTGCCTCTCTCTGTTGCTCTCTGCAAATGGCAGAAGAGGCTGGGAGCTGCAGGGGAAGGCTCAAAGAGCCACATGCAGCTCTGGAGCCTCAGGTTGCCGACCTGTGACCTAAAGTATTGTGGACATCTAAAGAAGAAAGATTTCCAGAGAGAAAAATAACTCACATTACCTATAGTAGTGACCACAGTCCCAGCAAAGAAGAAACTATTGCTGAAGTCCCAGTTACTAGGATTGTTTGAATTTCCTTCAGGGTTGACTCCTTTTTCCCAAGCTTCCATAATGACCTGTCATGGAAACAATTGTAAAAGAAAGAAAGGAAGAAAGAGATTGTTTAAAACTGGAAGATTATAGCAATTAAGTAGTAAAATGCATTCAGTTTCCAATATTCACTATTTATAATTTCTTTTATAGTAATGAGACAGCCCATGTTATTCTGCCAATGAAATAGGACTGCTTATAGGAGATGAGCAGGCTGAACTGGAAGGTGGGGGTTAAATGTGTCATCAGTTTGGAATCATTATGCAGCTGCAAGAGATCCAAGTCTAACTCCTCATCAATTCTGTTAACCTCTATTTAGTGCCAATTTAGCTTTGATTGTTAATTGACCAGATTCTATAAATATAGTAATAATAAACTCTTCAGTGGTTTGAACTGAAGTAGTGTGTGCCTGACACTACTAGATGCGTTAAGAGTTGTACACAACCCATTATACTCTTTCAGTGAGAACAATTACAATTGTGTTTAGAGTTTGTGGAGAACTCATACTTCTCAAATGTATACATGAATGAAAGCAAAATGAATTCTTCTACCAAATTCTACTATGTAGTTTGTACCTTTTTTAAAAAAAATCAACCAAGTGTTAACCTACAAATGGTTAATGTATAAATATGTATAATCTATAAAAATAGGTAGATTAAGAGAAAATGCACAATGAAGTAGAATGGATTTAAGGTTTTTAAAAAATGAGTAACTCAAAAGAATTAAATGTGATAGATTTAACCATCCTTAGTAAGTATAGCAAGATCTGGAGAGGACTCTTTCACTGGAATTTGCAACTGTCTGGATGGTTGTGGATCAGCTACAGTGGGGCAATGAGAGGGATGCAGTACCTATTTAATACCAGAAAGGTATTAGTAAGAAAGGGTTTAGTAAAAGATTGGAATGGTGGGAAATGGGGTGACTGCAAATAGGGTATTTGTAAACAATTTAGAGTATCTCTAAAAGTTTAATTAAGGAGTAAGTATCAGACCTTTACAACGTTAAGCAGGAAAAACAGGGTTTAAACTCTTGTGGCATAGGTAGGTAGAAAGATTCTTAGACTCTTAGAGAGACTCTTAGATTCTTAGAGAGGTTGATTATATTTTTAATTCTGTTTTTAATTTTTCCCCTTTTAGATCGTTTTATGTTTTTTGTCTGTAATCCATCCAGAGTTACTTCGACCGTGAGATGGGTAGTTTCTAAATTTGATTAAATAAATAGGGTCAGTTATATTTGCAATAAACTTTAACATATCCACACCTCATTCTTGGATTATAGCAAAAGCATTATTATGGAGTGAGTTGTAATTCTTAGAAAAACATTTAGAAGTATCTTGAAAGAAAGTACTGAGAAAGCATAACGCCATTTGTTGATCAGGAAGTTTTCCAGCCTACCAAAAGAAGCTGAGTTCTATTCTTAATTGCCTGCATTTCTCATTGTCTGAATACAATTCAGAAATTATGGTAGTCTGCTTAATATTAATTTATTATGATGATTGTAGTGCTCCAAAATTATTTCATTAATTTTTGTGTCCTTTAAACCAGGGCTTTTCAACCAGTGGTATGGGTACCACCTGTGGTACATTGGCACCTGGCAGGTGGTATGTGACGATCCTAGAAAAGTGGTAGAGGGGGAGGGGAATGAGCTGAACCTGTGGCAGCACCGCACAAGCCTGAGCGAGAGATGGCTGGAGCTTTCCAGCTGATCGGCACTTCTTCGGGGCTGTCGGCTCAGTGGAAGCGCCAGGATCAGCACCAGGATCAGCACCAGGTTCCGGCTGGAGCTCCGTGCTGATCCTGGTGCTTCTGCTGAGCCCTGAAAAGCACCAATCAGCTGGAAAGCAGCACTGATCCTGGCACTTATGCTGAGCCCAGAAGAAGCTCCGATCAGCTGGAATGTTGCAGCATCTCCAGGATCTTGTGATTTACATTCAGATGCTTAGCAACTGATTCATACTTATGATGGTCACAGTGTCTCAGGGTCATGTGAAGTGACCAAAACCTGCTGCAACCACCCAGCAGACGGGGAATAAAAACCAAACACCAGCCCCACCCCACCCCCACTGCCAATCCTTAAGAGAAATGCTCACAACAATGAAAACCTTGGACAGGAGGAAGAGCACCGCCGGGCGGGCAGGCAGGTGTCTTGCTTGGCTGTGGCTTGGGGGGCACTTTTTTCAGTGCCATTGTAACTTTGAACAGTCACTAAGTGAACTGTTGTAAGCCGAGGACTACCTGTACTTTATCACTTTTTTCCTTTTTTGGGGGGGGGGTCATCAAGTTTTTGACACCTTGCTAGGCGACTGGTGGTACTCACATGTTGCCATATCCTAAAAGTGGTACCGTGGGTGAAAAGATTGAAAAGCCCTGCTTTAAACTGCAATAAAATACTTTCCTATGCTTGGTTCTGAATGTACTTTCATGGGCCAAGGGTGTAGCTACAATTTCGATCTTTTCTATGATGCTTGTGCTGAAACCCTCCAATACTATCTTATGATCGAGCCTAGATGTTTCTTTGTTGAATCTCGTTAGAAATTAGAGAAGTGCCAGCACATAAACTCCCATGCAACAGTTGTAAAGCAGAGAATGGACCACATTGCGTAAGGGTTCTGGCTAAAGTACAGTAATACTAAGCTGAAAATAATAACAAGGATTAATATTGGAATGCTGATACTTGGCAAATGCATTACATTTATGAAGATTTATGTTGTAACTGAACTATCGATGCCCTCTAGTGTTTTTGTATAGTATCAACCAGCATTGATCACAGAAAATAATGCTCCAAAATGAAGCATGCTTACCTTAGAAAATTGAGGGTTTTTTTTTTTAACAGCAGCAGCAAATATGTGGAATTTTCTTAATTTCTGTTTATATTGTGGAGAACAAAATGTTCAGTTTTTCAGAGGACAAGCTACATTGTTTATCTTTGATTATAAATGCTATCATTAAAACATTTTGTTGGGGAAAATAATAATTATCACTTCAATCAAATGCTAAACTATTGGTTTAAAGCAAGAGCCAAAGAAAACAAAATATGAAACCTTCATATATATTAAAAGGTCAAGCCACTTCCCCTCAAACTACCATTCTTTAAAATCAGTGCAAAATATATCTTTTTAAAAATTGCACATAGGAGTTAATTATGTCATACAATACTTATTGTTTCTTATGCAAATATTCCTTATATTCCCCCATTTTTAGATTACTACTCTGCAACATTGAGTATAAACAAAGAAATGGAAAATTGATTGTGGGATGGATATTCAGGAAGTTGGAACTGGACATTTTTATGTTTATTTTTTTTGTTAATTAAGCAACCTTTATTTTTATTTTCTGTCATTTTATCTTAACTTATTTTTTGGAATGGAGGTGCTCAGGAGTAGTAGAACTCTTCAATTTAGAGTTTGTAAAACAAAGGCGATGACAATTCCCTCATGGATTTAACTCAAAGTAGTTGCAGAGGAAAGAAAATGAAAATCTGTAAGCTCTTTAGTAACTAAGCTGGAAGGCAAAACTAGAAAAGCTCTATGCCCGTGGTGGCGAACCTATGGCACGCGTGCCACAGGTGTCACGCAGAGCCCTCTCTGTAGGCACATGTGCCGTCGCCCCAGTCCTAGGCCTTCAGCTGGGTTTTAGAAAACCTTGTCGCTTTAGGCCTCCGCCGCCATGTGCAAAAAAAAAAAAAAGATTCAATCAATCAATTTTAACTTCTTGCGGGGGAAAAACAAGATCTCACAAAGTTGGAATTGATTGATTGAACTTTTTAGTCCCACCCAGTCTGCCTTTACCAACAAAGCCACACCCACCCAATTGGCCACACCCACCTGGCACCTGACGATACATAAGTGGGTTTGGGGTTGCAGTTTGGGCACTCGGTCTCTAAAAGGTTCGCCATCAGTGCTCTATGCCCTTGTTATGACTTGTACAATGGCAGAGTTGGGAGGTGCGTTAGGATTAGAGATGTATCTGTTGACCCTCCCCAACACCTACAGTCTTGGATGTTACAATATGTTAGGAAGAATTGCAATGGGGAAAGGGAAGGTAGCAGAAAAAACTTCAAATTTTTTCCAACTAAATGGAAGGAAAAAGCTTCCTTTGAATTACTGCTTCATGAATTGTTAACAGAACACATAATGTTCATACGTCTAGATCCAGTTCACACATCTTAGTAAGCTATAATGGGCCTGCTTTGGCTCTATCAATATGCACTGTGGTTTGTAAACCAGGGTTTATGTCTTATAATTATGCATAAATAAGGCTACCATAACTTGCTCTATACAATTGTGGCTTACTATGATGTGTGAATCCAGCCATAAATTTGTATTTATGTATTTGTGATATATGATTTGTATTCATACATGCCTATGAGTAATTTCCAAAAACTGAGAAATAGAGCCAGTGACATTTAGCAGTGACACCCTTTCCTTGTAGTATGCATGTCACTAATGTAATAAGGTCCAATCAATGTTGTTTAGGCATTTACAAGCTGTCACAGATGCATCTGTTTTCTGCTATCAGATTTTTGTTTGTGGGTTATAGGTTTTGCTTGTTTTTACAGTGATAGAAGGGCATCATCTTTTCAAGAAAAAATAGAGGGAGTTAATATTTCTTCCAGATAAACAAACAATCTAGTTAGCATACTGTACACAAAAATGCCTCCCCTCCCACCTCACAATATAATCTGCTAAAATGAAGGAATAGACTGAGCTCTCAAAAATCCTCCACAATATTGTGGGGGAAATCACATGGGGGGAGGGGCTGTGGGAAGAAGGCAACAGAAGTAGATTCCCATTTTTTCCCCAAGTCCAACGGAAAGGAAAAACTCCCTGCAAACTCCTGTTCCATAGGGGAATACTTCACCTTCAAAGAACTAAAGATCTAAAATAGAATAAATTATTGGAGTGTAATGACCTAATCTATGATATAATATGCAATCCACTCAGCCTAATGACCAAATATTCATAAATGATGCAGTAGCTTGGCAGAGCGCAAGGCTGTTTGTCAACCTCATAGAAATCCCAACAAAACTGCATGCATTGCTTGGCCCTAGTACAGGTGTAGGCAACCTTGGGTCTTTTATGACTTGTGGACTTCAATTCCCAGAATTCCTGAGCCAGCCAAGGTTGCCTACCCCTGCCCTAGTAGGAAGGAAAAAAGGAAAGTGAATTGCAATTGGAATTATGGGAAATTATAATATATAGCCAGGAATAAGTCCATACACATAAGCACTTATTCATTAATCATAGGAGGAGGCCTTATTATAATAAAAGGGCTCTTCTATTTCTGTTGCATTTTCATTGGATAAAAGGAAGATACTTATGAAGATTGAATTATTTCTCAACAGAGGTCAGGTGCTTTGGCTAGACTACACATAGAGAGAAAACTAAATAACTAATATTGACAATTAGAAATGCATATTAAATAGAGGGTTTCCCACCCTGAGTATTTGCTGCTATGTGGCTTTCTCCAATTTTCTGACCATTTGGGGGTTAGATTTGATAATCTTTAGAAGACAAACTCTCTTTAAAAGGATGGGCCAAGTCAAGGCCAGCATTCTCTATGCATTAGCCATCCAAATTGGCCAGAGATGCAGCTCCATGTTAATATTGGCTGTGTGGATACACACTGAAAGTGGAAGGTGGTCCTTACCTGCACAAACTGCTCCAGAGCTTGCCGATCCAGGCATGTATAGTTTTGCAGGAACATAAGCTTCTTCATTTGGAACTGGTCTCGACTCTGGGCTTCTGCCTGCTTCTCTAGAAGCTGGAACACCGTAGCTCCCAGGAGGAGATAAAAGAGATACCCGAACACCAGTGTCAGAGTCCAGCTAAGCTGCCAGTTGCATACGGTGAGGTAGGGCATGGCTGTTGGTGGGCAGGCAGACCTGACCTAGTGGAGCCAAGCGTTATTCCATGGGTTAATGTTCTTGCTCCAAGAGGCATAGAAGAATTGCACAGCTGTCTTTTCAGTGCATACGGCTAAGATCCTGTTTAAACAGCTTGTGAGCATCAGGTCTAGACAACATGAACTAAAACAAACAGATTTAACTCCCACCTCTTCAGTTGGGAGTAAAATCACACTGGTTTGTTACTGCATTTCTGGTAACAGTGATGCATTTTCATTAACAATAAGTAAAATACAGACAAACTCAGTATTTCTTACATTTGGGGATTGGCCAATTGGGCTAAAAGTCCTATAAATGGACTTAATTAGCACTATTGGAAGTTGATGTACTGCTAGTGATGAATAATAGGATAAGCGACAGTAGCAATCTCCAGCTTGATGCCTTCCAGTTGTGTTGAACATTAACTTCTATAATTCCTAGTTTGAATGCTGCATGATAAAGATTTTCTTTTGTTTGTTTGTTTTCCATTTCCACAGTATTAGCAATTTGGAACATCATATCATACAGCAGTTATGTAGTACTGGGTAGGAACAGGGCATAGCAACCCCTGGTGATAATTGGAATTAGAAGCCAAGCATCCTTACAAAATTTGCACTTGAAACATCACATGCAAATAGGAAAAGTTGGCATACTACCATGGTTAAGTCACTTAAGTGTTGCTGACACTCACAGATATTGTGTCTTGCCATCAGATCAAAGACCTGTGGAATGGGAAACCTGAAGAGGAACTAAAATCCTTCCCTGCATTGGACTCACAAGAGACGCTCAGATAATCTATTCTGCTCCTCTCCCACCTGTTCAGAGCACACAAAAGAGAGTAAAGAGCTAAATGAGCAATATTTATCCTGGTGCCAAAGTACAGTAGCAATGTGTCCTCTGTTATCACCTATGATAGAAGTGCTTTGTTGCCATCTACACAAGTGGTTGCTGTGGGAAAGGGTTCTCTGCATCTCATATATACAGACACAGCTCCAATGCCTCTTCACAAGGAGAAACACCACAGTATACTTCAATCTATACAGAGCCTGTTTCTACATGGACAAGGTTTTTTTTCCAACTCCAGATGATGATGGTTGGGAATGTTTATTGTTAATTTAAATATTAGTAGATTACCTGCCCTGTAATACATCTCCAAATGGCATATAAAACTGGAAAAACATTTGGTTTCCTGGATCATGGGCTGCATTTTCTACATGAAGGACTCTTGGCAAGGGATGGACTGCACCTCACTAAAATAGGGGAAAAGGTACTCAGAAAAAGACTGGCCCAACTCATCAGGAGGGCTTTAAACTAAAATTGACGGAGAAGGGTGACCAATCTTTAGAATCTCTAGAAAACAAAACCAGTAATAAATCCCAAGAAAACAAATCAAACAATGAGGTTTGGAGTAATGAGAAAAAAGAAAAACTCCAATAACAATCAGGAGATGTAGGAAACATACCCACAGACAGGCATAAAGGTCTTAAATGCTTATAGACAAATGCTCAAAGCCTGGGGAACAAACAGGGTGAACTAGAAGCAATAGTACATGAGTTGGCAGTTACAGAAACCTGGTGGGATGAAACCCATGACTGGAATGTACTGATGGATGGATACAAATTGTTCAAAAGATATAGATCTACAGAAAGAGGAGGGGGAGTTGTACTATATGTAAGAGAACACTACATATCTATAGAAATGCACATGATCAAAGATAAAATCCCTCCAGAATGTATATGGGTCAATATAAAAGGGGGAGAAAAGTGACATTGCCATAGGTGTATATTACAGACCACCCAACCAATCAGAAGAAATAGATGAACTCTTTGCCAACCAGTTAACAAACATGTAGGAAGCATACCACAGTAGTAATGGGAGACTTCAACTATCCAGATATCAACTGGGAGACAAACTCTGCAGTGAGTGGGAGATCAAACAGATTCCTAATCCACCTAACCGATAACTTTATCATCCAAAAGGTGGAGGAGGGAACTAGAAGTAAAGCTATACTGGCCCTAATCCTTACTAATTGAGAAGAAGCGAGGGAATTGAAGTTGCCAGAACCTTGGTGGAAAGTGACCATGTCATGCTGAAATTCAATATAATGCAAATACAAACAATAGAAAATAATCCAACCAGAGTCTTAAACTTCAAAAGAGCTGATCTTAACAAACTCAGAGAGAACCTAGGAAAGATTCCATGGACAAAAATCCTAAAGGGGAAAACAATGCATGAAACATAGGAAACTCTGAAAAATGAGATCATAAAAGCCTAATGCAGCACAATACCGCTGAACAAGAAAAAACAAATTCAAGAGGAAACCAGCATGGCTACACAAAGCTCTCTCTGACAAACTGAAAGACAAAAACGACAAGTACAAAATATGGAAAGAGGAGCAGATAATAAGGCCGATTATCAGCAGACAGCCAGAACATGCAAAGATGAAGTCAGGAAGGCAAAGGCTCAGAATGAACAAAAACTTGCAACAGAAATCAAGGACAATAAAAAAGTTTAAACATATTAATAACAAAAAAAGTCAAGGAAACTGTAGGTCCACTAAAGAGAGAAGACGGCAAGGAAATAACAGGCAATAGGGAGAAAGCAGAGCTGCTTAACTCATTCTTTACATCAGTGTTCACACAAAAAGAAATTATAGCCCAATATACCAAAAAAAAAACCAACTGCAAAAAACAAACCAGAAAGAAAAATTAAAATAAAAAAAATGGTAAGAGAACACCTATCTGAACTTGACAAATATAAATCACTGGGACCTGACAGATTACATCCCAGAGTTCTGAAGGAGCTGGCAGATGTTATCTCAGAACCATTGTACCATATCTTTCAAAAATCCTGGAGCACCGGGGAAGTACCTGATGATTGGAAAAGGGCTGATGTGGTTCCCATCTTCAAGAAGGGGAAAAAAAACCAGACCCAGGAAACACCAATCAATCTAACATCAATACCTGGGAAGATCTTGGAAAAGATAATCAAAAAACAAATCTGCGAACAACTAGAAGCAAACAAAGTTCTAACCAGCAGCCGGCACGGGTTTGTCAAAAACAGATCATGCCAAACCAATCTTATTTCATTCTTTGATAAAGTGACTAAATTAGTAAACCAGTGAAACACTGTGGACATAGTATACTTAAAACTTCAGTAAGGCATTTGACAAAGTAGACCACAACCTGCTGCTTAGTAAGCTAGAAAAAAGTGGGATAGATAACAACACCATCAGATGGATCTGTAGCTGGCACACAAACCATACTCAGTGAGTAGTTTTCAATGGTACTACATCCATATGGAGAATAGTGAGCAGTGGGGTACCACAGTGCTCCATTTTAGGCCCAGTACTCTTCAATATCTTCATTAATGACTTAGATGAGGGAATAGAAGGGGAATTCATCAAATTTGCAGATGATACCAAATTGGCAGGAATCGCCAACATTCCAGAAGACTCTGGATCCAAAAAGATCTTGACAGACTTGAACAATGGGCCCTATCCAACAACATGAGTTTTAATGTGGAGAAAAGCAAAGTTTTACATTTGGGTAGGAAAAATCAAAGGTTTAAGTATAGATTAGGCGAGATCTGGCTCAAAAACAGCAACTGTGAGAGGGACCTCGGAGTCCTAGTGGATGATCACTTGACTATGAGCCAGCAATGTGCAGCAGCAGCCAAAAAAGCTAATACAATCCTGGGTTGTATAAAGAGAGACATAGAATCAAGATCACGCGAAGTATTAGTAACACTTTATAAAACCCTAGTAGGACCACACCTGTAATACTGCAACCAATTTTGGTCACTATACTACAAAAAAGATGTTGAGACCTTGAAAAATATTCAGAGAGGAGCAACTAAAATGATCAAAACCTGGAGACTAAAACATATGAAGAACAGCTGCAGGACTTGGGTTTGGCTAGTCTAAAGAAAAGAAGAAATAGGGGTGACATGATAGCAGTATTCCAGTATTTGAGGGGCTGCCACAGAGAAGGGAGGGTGTCAAACTATTCTCCAAAGCATTAGAGGGTAAGACAAGAAACAATGGTTGGAAACTGATCAAAGAGAGAAGCAACCTGGAATTAAGGAGAAACTTCCTAACAGTTAGGACAATTAACCAGTGGAACAGCTTGCCCCCAGAAATCGTGGATGCTCCATCACTGGAGGTTTTAAAGAAGAGACTGGATAGTCACTTGTCTGAGATGGTATAGATTCTCCTGCTTAAGCAGGGGGCTGGACTAGAAGACCTCCAAGGTCCCTTCCAGCTCTATTCTATTCTATATAAAGCACAAAATAATAAGCACTACAAAAACGCTCTTGTGCTTTTTCAAAATATTGAGGTGAATACAGTTTCTTCATGTGCCTAAATTGTAACCAAATTACTATGATCTGGCTAAATGGTTTCTAATAATGGAACTAGTCTGCAGGCCTTAAACCTCTCCATGCTCCTTCTCCACATGGGGTTGAAGGCATGAGTGAATGTACAACTCTTTAATACTTGAGTGGCCCTGTCAACTTTATGCATTAACAAGAATCACTGTAATATATTAAAATTGTATGTATCAACAACTCTTAAATAAACAAACCAGCAAGTCCAGCCAATCCTAAATCAATCAATATTATATGCAATGGAGGGAGATACTCCAGCTGTTTGCTTTAACATGTAGATTTAAAGATGATAGGGGCCCAGTTCTTGATAGTCTTGTTCATCAGTGGGGCCCTTTTCTGACTTGAGAGGCCCTTATGCTTTAGGGGCCCCTGATAAATTGTCAATTGTACTTTCATTGGTAGATGTTCTCTAGGGAATCTCCAAAGAATCACACAATTCTTTGTCCTGGGCAATGGTTACATATTTAAATTTTTTAAGAAGCAGCTCCAGTGGCCCAAAAGAAACAGGAAGAAACAAATCAGGAAACAGTGCAAGGTGAATGCTTTCACAACTACATCATATTCATTCTGATTAATTCCTTTTGTTAGTCCTTTGGAAGTGTTTGAATGGAAAAGTAACATGTAAGTTTACTACAATGAAGGAAGGGAAGGAGAAATCATGGCAGTCAGCCTCAATGGTATGACTACCACCAGAGAAGCTTTATTTAGTGAAATCCAGCTTCCAGCGGCTATTAAAAACATTTGAGATCCTTGAATGACTAGCATTCCTTCATTCAAGGTCTGCACATTGCATTAGTCAGAGCTTCATAGTTAAAACTGAAGTCTGATTACAGGTATAGAAACAAACCCATTTAGTCAGA